TTTTTCAGAACACATAAGTCCCATGAATCAGTTCACACCTGTCTCACTGTCACATACAGAGGAGTTTGCTGCCTCAGTGCAGGTATACTTCCTTAAACGTCTTCTGGTCACAACCAACAGGAACAAGAACAAAATAGATGTTCCGGTAGCTTTCCTCTCTATTCAGCTTCTACCAAAGTGATACTGAAGCTAGTTAGATAATCTTTTTCCTAAGGTAGGAGTTCGGTTCTGTCAGATACAAAATGAGACAATAGGAAACATTTTTTTTTTAATGAACAAACAACTTTCACAGAGACTGTCTATATCACATTGTTATTACAACATAGATGAGCTGAAACTTTTTTTGTACAGATTTGGAGGAAGGGCAACCCTAAAAAGAAATCAAGCATATAGAGGTAGTTGAATAGCAGTATGGGGTGGGGAGCATTATCTTAATTTCCCTTCAGATCATTACAGTGCAAGAGTAAAATGGCCGCTTAACAAACGAATGGAAAACAAACACACATACACGTTTGCCACTGTTGAGTGGCTTGCTTGATATTTTAATCCTGGCATTATTGAGAACTGCAGAAAATGATGGAACTAGTTTATCTAAGATAAGCCTACAGTGTCACATTGACCTATTTGCTCTCCTTTTATTTCGTTGTTGCTTATTGTTGTTGCTTTAACAATAGATAAATGTTAATCAACTTTTAAAGTTATATATAAGCTACAGTGTTGCTTTGTAAACTTCCGTTAATCATGTTTGCTGCGAAAACATTTTAAATGGCTACAGAATCATGAAGCAAAAGCTATAAAGTGATACCAGGAACAGAGATTACAGGCACTTCTCTCTGGAGGTTAACTTAGCATGTTTGTAAATACCCATTTGTAAGTGAAAATTTCTTCATCTCACCTCTGGATGTGCATAATCCAGATTATTAGATAGTTGAACAGTGTAATAAGCGGGAGCTATCATTCTAAGAGGAATTGAATGCATACATTTTACATGGCTCCTTTCCCTTCCTTCTCTCTGCACTCGGGAAGGGGCACAGATTGCAGCCCATGCACCTGGCTGCTTTTCAGAACTGTCTTCAATCATATATCAAAATCTCATTCCTTAAGCCCAAGACTGCTAAAGACCCACACTTTTCCATTGGTTGGGCTGCCTTTCATTTGCATCTTTGTCACACACCTCTGCTATGATTCTGCCTTGGTGAGTGGAAATGGATGCAAAGTCAACATGTTGGGAACTCAAGAAATGAGTCCCTGAATAAAACTCTCATCTTGGAAATGGAGTTGGTGTGGGGAACACAATCCCCGATGGATTGCAGTCCATCAACAGTGTGCAATCTGTTGACAGAAAGAGACCTCTGGGTGCTGTGAACTGGCCTCAGGAGCTCTACTGTTCCAAGGGCCAGTCACAGGGGATTATCTGAGCCCAGGCCAGCTCCAAAGGCAGAGCTGGAAGCGCCACATGCGCAATGACTTGGCTTGCCCATTGCTGCCAATGCAGCACTGGGCTAGAAGCAGTCAGCCTTAGGAAAAGGCAAACTGTTGAAATAGTCAATTCTCTGCCCCCCTAAGTCAGGGGCAAGCATTCTCTTCTCCAAGTTGTCTACAGAAAATTAGTTTGTTTTTCATTTTCTACATTTTGCTGGTTATTTGCTAGCAGCAGTAGTACAGTACAAAGCAGAAAGGCATAATGTCTGCTTGCTACCTAGTATATGTACGTATGTGTGTGTGTATATATATATATATATATATATATATGTACACGCATACGCACACGGACAGACAAAAAATAACCTACTAGGAAAAGACTGGGTGTCACAATAGACAGGAAAACTGACCAAATAAGTGGCACCATCTACCAAGGGGGAAGTCTTGTCCTTCTGGCCTAGATTTAACATTATGTCTTTCCTATGTAAACTCTTCATTCCCAAGCTACAGCAAAGCCAATTTCCAAGTGACAGAAATGGTCAAGTCCAAGTACGTCCCAAGGAAAGCTGGTTTAGCCTTGCATCCCGCCTCCCACCACTACTGAAACAAAAGCTTATCATAAAATGACCTAAATGTGTATCTAGGCTACTAAAGTGCAATTCTGCCCAGCCAAGATCTACATTTGCTGGAGTTAGGTACTCACTTATCAAAGTGAAGCACTGTATGATATGGAATTTTATTAAGAAATCAAACTTCCTATAGAAGGAACAGGATTGAGGTTAAAAAAAAAGAATACTTTAAAAAAATAAATCAAACTTCCTTTTCTACTTAAATTAAGTAGAGATGTGTTAGGCAACTTAATCTATGACTTCCCATTGTAAGCTTCTAAGGTGATTCAGTGATCTGGTTGCCATGCTTGTTTAATAAAATTATGTGTAATACAAACTATTTCAAATGCTATAAATCTGCAAAGTAATGGGTTCAAAACCAAGCTTGGCCACTTACTGGCTACCTATGTTACATGGGTAAAGTATTTAACATTGTGAAGCCTCAGTTTTCTCAACTATAATATGGGTCATGTGGAAGATAAATGATTTGGTGAGCTCAGGTATGTGAGATCATCTGGCTCAATACCTGCTACATGGTAGGTTCTCAATACATTTTTGTTGAATCTGTTACTTTGGGCAGCATAAAGGAATACCACGAACCAAGCATAAATATCATAGATTGTAAAATCTAATCATCCTGGCATGGGAAAGATTCTCAATATATTTTGGAGAACAGGGAGTGATGAACTGGTTATTCTAATGGAGCTAGAACTTAAGGCTTCCATTCACATACACAAAGAGTGTGATGCGCACCACCCGGGGGATGGACGCGCTTGAAGCTTGGACTTGGTTGGGGGGAGGCAAGGGCAACATACGTAACATAAACATCTGTACCCCCATAATATGCTGAAATAAAAAAAAAAAGAAATTCTAGACCTCTGAGCAACAATATTTTTTACCCCTTATTTAAATGGGAAAATTTTTTCTGGCATAGGATTGGTCCCTACCTCTAACCTTCATTTGTTCTCCAGTCTTTTCACTTTCCCAAATAGACTTAACCCCAAGAGGAATCATCAAATTATGGTCCAAAATTCAGTGGTATGGATTCCCCCAACTAAATTTAAAGGGGTTTCAAGTGAGTATTTTGTGTAAAGGCAGTATTTTATGCAAATATAGGTCCCTGATGATATTCTGTAACTATGACTAATCTAATAATAGCTATTATTTGTTGACTGTCTCCTAGGTGCAAGACATTGTGCTAAGTGATTTACATGTTACCTCATTTAATGTTCATAACAACCCTACATGCAGAATTATCATTACCCATTTCATAGAAGAGGAAACTGGGGCTCAGCAAAAGTTAAATTGCTTGCCAAAAGTGACAGATCTAGTAAGCAGAGAAGCATATGACCCTTTTCTTTGCCGTACTTACACTAGATAATAGGAAACTATTCCACTAGGACTGTGCTATGACCATTGAGTTGGGCACCAGGTGGGAGGCAGGAGCCTTTAATTTCCTGCTGCCTGAGCCTTGTAGAGTTTGCTTGGGCAGAAACTATGCCTACCCTTCCATCTACTTCCATTCCTCACCTCCCCAGTCTGGCTCCAAACATCAAACCTGGTAACACAATGCTCTGACAACACAGCGTCCATTAGGCAAATGCAGAAAAGACCATTTGGTTTCTGCTTACATGAATCTCTTTTTCATTGTCTGGATCATCTCATTCTCCCCTGCCTATTTCTGGCCACAGGTGGTGGTGGAAGTAAAACTGATTGCATGAAGCATTACCCTATTACCTTGCCAGAGTGGATGGGCTGTGAGTGGATAACGCACTGCAGCTGTCCAAAAATCACATGGGGATTAATTTGCATAAAGATATGAATGGCACAATTCACTTATTCCCTGCTCTAATCTTTTCGCTCTGCCATTGTAACACTCCCATACTCATGACACTTTTTAGGTTCTCCTGCCACTGAAGGATTCAAACCAGCACTAAACAAGCCCTAAAAGGGCTTACTTACTCTTACCTCCTCACCCTCTCATCTCCCCGCTACATTGAAATCTTGGACCATTGCAACTAGGAGGAAAGGCAGTGCTTAGATTAAATAGTGGATTAATTATCTGGTTCCTTTTAAAAAGATTTGTAAAGGGTTCTACCCTATCTGGCTTCTTCATACTTTTAATAACAAACAGTCCCTCATTAAGTGTTTCCTCACATGCTAGCCCATGTCTTGATCCTCAGAACCCTGAGAAGAGGTGCGGTACAGAGGCTAGTTGGGTATGGCTAGGATATGCCCAAAGGAAAGCCATTCCCTCTGTAGGGTTAATTATGATCCTCACTAAAATTCCATCCTCAACTGCACTGGGGATAAATTAGATACACTTATAATTAGATGGCTGAAATAAATGCTTATAGTAGATTGTAGTAAGAGACACTCCTCTGACTCATCTCTTCATTCCAGAAAAGTAATTCTTTCAGCCTAGTTCTGTATTACACAGAAAATGGATTATTTTACTTTACCCTGGCACATACCATAATCTACGACAAATCCCTTAAGTATTTTACAGTTTAATTCAAACTGAAAAAAGTGGAATCTGTGAAGACAGATGATCTTAGCATCATTCTGAACTTCTTTCAAACATCTACTTGGCTAGGTACACAAATGGTCCAAGAACTGGGACCAATGTAGTTAGAAATGATGAAAGCAAAAATTGCATGTTTCTAGTATTATTATTTCCCCCTAGGTACACGGTAAACCACATCAATAAATAAAGCAATGGACTTTTCAGCAATGTGCACTTAAATAGTTACAAACATACATGTAGAAAAAAAGGATACAGTAGTGCAAAAAATAAATTATTAGAACAGAAAGAAGTATGAATATTATTTTACACAATGCTCCATAAAACCTGAACCATTTGGAATGAGACCTCAAGTCAGTGAAATAATGCAGCAACATGATTAGTATCTTTGCTTCACATTTGAACCACATGGTCATTGGTGGATGAAAGAAAATTAAAGCAAAACCAAACCTTCAGAACATTTTATGATAAAATCAAAAATTTTTTTCTGGGCTCTTAAACACCTCTGCTGTTTATGTAGTTGTGCAGCATGTCAAGCATCTTAAGACAGAAAGTTTCAAACAGGTCACATTCTTTTGGTCTTTCTACTCAATTTCTCTCTGTGATCAACAGCAGGCTAATGCCTCTGTTTGATACCCTCTTCTGTTAAGATGTTATTGCAATTAGATGTATTTACAAGAAGACTCCCCCACAGGGTAGTGGGGAGGGTGGGAGCTCCTTTCACCAATCCACTCTCACTAGTTTTGATTTCGGGATATAAAGGCCAGGACTCGCCGAATACCATTCAGTCTATCCTTTAAGGACCTCATTGCTAGGAACGGGAGCTGAGCTCGGCTTTCCAAGGGAAGAACTGCTAATGTCCACCAGCACCAGGCTGGGCCGTTTGGATTAATCTGCAACAGAGAAACACAATGGGGTCATCCTATTCCCATGCAAGCAATACCATTCTGCAGACTTCCAAATGCACAAGGTAAATATCCCAGTTAGAACTGCTTCTGTGTGTGGTAGAGTGCTAATTGCCCCTATATCTATTTCCTCCTAATTTTAGCTAGGCACATAGCCAGCCAGAAAAAAAAAGACAACATTTCTCAGCCTCCCTTGCAGCTAGGTGAGGCTATGAGACAAAGATTTGGGTAATGATACTAAAGGGAAGTGATATGTATAACTTATGGGTCATGCTCTGGGAAAGCAGCATATGCCCTCCACCTTCCTCTTCCTCTCCCTTTCCACTAGCTAGAATGTGGGCTTGGTGAGGATCAGCCTTCTTCAATCAAGAACATGAGGGGAACATTCTAAGGATGGTAGAACTTTGTGATGAAGGAGCCTGGGTCCCTGAATGTTCCCATGGAATAGAAATGCCCTAGCCCTCAGGACTTAGGCCTTCTGTTTTGTTTAAGCTGCAGGCATTTTTTGGTACTTGTTAAAGCTAACAAAATCTTAACAGAGACACCATGACTCCTAGCCAGTGTGATTTTACAAGCTGGAATATCGACCACTCAGTCCTTTCTACTTCTAAGATTCTGTTGAGCTTCTTTGGACTGATACAGTTAACATGCAGGCCTTCAAGTCCCATGATGTCTTAGGCTTTGCATGCCTCTTAACTCCCTTCAATTTCCTTGATGTGGCTGAAGACAATAGTCCAGATATACCATGTCACTATACAGGGCCACATCTATCTTCTCCCCCGAAACCAAAGGCTATGATTTACAGTCCCAAAGAACAGCGACACCCCTTTGCAAAAATTCCAATAGAAAACACATTCACATTAGAAATGTACCTGCCACATCTCACATAAATCCCTCCCCCAAATTCTGTTTGTAAGCAGCTTCCCCAGCACACATTCTAGACATTGGTGACTTATTTCCTACTAAGCCTGTAATGAGTTTTATGCCCACAATTTTCAGAAAGTTGGTTGTAGGATGGAGAAAATCACATTCTGGTCAAACCACCTACACCTGACATTATTTGGCTCCAAACTGGTTCATCTGATTCTCCCCAAATCTCACTGTCCCCTTTGCTTTTCTGAGCTTCTAGCTTCGTTTGGATTCTTTTTGTCCCTCACTGTAGTTGGCAACATATTGTCCCTCCTATGATCAGTTCTAAATATTAGATTGATATTCTGAAACTTCTTTCCTAGGATCATCAACAAAGATATTTAAGCTGATGTTAATATTTGTGGCAGTTTCTAAGAAACCTCCTCTTGAGGCTTAGAACATTCTGCTTCATGGCACCACTGGGGCTGCAGCATTGACTGGAGTAAACTGCATGGGTTTAGGTTTTTGCTTGTTTCTTTTCTGGTGCTGCTACTGCTAAAGCGACATGATAACAGAACTAATAGGAAATGAAGCCCAAGACTTCAGCTTTCTATATCATTAAGCTCTTATGAATCACACCGTGGCATGTGTGTTTTCTCCTGTGGAAGAAGCTGTTAACCACTGCTATCTCTGTCTTTTGCCTGACTGGGGGAGAATGCTGCCCTGAAGGCGAAGGGGGCATTAAGCCTGATTATGAGCTTGCTCGGAGCTATGCTGAAGTCCTGAATCACAGTGGCCCAGAGCCAGGAGCTGGGTCACTGCCATGCACTAACTGGCCTTTCTCCCTTCAAAATTCATGATGCCTTTGCATGGGGGAAACGGAGCCACCTTTGTGGTCTGGAGAAAGCAATACATTTCAGCCCATTAAGGAATAGACTGATGTTTTAGAGCCTCAGAATGAAAGAGGAAGAGGGGGCTTTAGAGACTTCTTCATTCACCTCTCTCATGTCAGAGACAGGGGAAAAGCTGAGAAAGACTAAGGGATTTACCCAAGGTCCTATTGCCAGAGAGGTAAGCAGGACCAGTCTTTTGACAAAGAAGTTAGAACATATATATTCAGACTTTTCTTTTGTGACAGAGTTGGGAATGAACACAAGAATCAAGGGAGAGATGATATAGGATTGCCAGCTCAGAGTATGGGAAAAGATGGTGGTGAGGAAATCTGTGGTTAGGATATCTTCAGTCTTCCTAGAGAGAAAGCATTCCCAGAAATGGAATCCCCTGAATGGATTCTGTGATTTACACCAGGTAAGCGAAGCTTGATGAAACTGAACCATCTCCATTTTCCTGGAGAGCTTTTGTTCTACAGCTTGATCTCACAAATGGGCCTTTCCCCCCAGGAAGAAGACTGATCCAGTAGAACCTAATGAACTGATTTCTAGTATAACTCAGCCAAGGATAAATTTAAAGATGGGGTCAGTTTACTCAGGATCTGTTCACCCCTGATGAGGACAGTAACAAGGGTCTAGACTTGTAGAGCTGAGCAAGGATGGACTGGGGTGTGAAAATTTTCTGGGGTCTTGCAGTTGGAATCTTGTAGGGCAGCTGGCCCTATCTCCTAGCTCCTGTAGTAATGGGGGAGAGGATTATGAAGTTCCCTGGAAGTAGCGGCCTTTGGTTTTAGGTCCCAGTATACCCTTCTCTTAAGTCCTGGCCTTTCCATTTATCTTGTCACCCTAACATTCCCATGGTGTGAATCTGGACTCCCATGGAACATTCTTCTGTTAGTGGTACCTACATTCCCATTCTCTCATCTCACTTATCTCTCAAAACCTGTCTTACATCCAAGTTCCTACTGCTTTAGTTACCCCGCTTCTGACTTGGGATCGTTTTGGTCTTACCCATGATACTCACTGCCCACCCAAACAATATCAAATTGGATCCATCTTCCTCTCTGTGCTTGATTTGCTGGATGGCAACGACATATCCATCTAATCACAAACCCTAGGCACTCTCATCTGGTGAAGCAACCCATTATAAACAGACATTTTTATATACCTGGGGATCAGCATCTTTCTCTGGCATTGGACCAAAGTGATTGAGTATCCGATTCTTCAGGGATGATTTGAGCGAATGAAACCATGAGGATGCTTGCTCATAGACACAGTTATGTAATCCCATGAGCTCAGCACAATCCTCTCCCTGAACCTGAAAATATCAAAGTGAAAGTGAAACATTCTGTACCCTCCGCATCACTCCCAGAGTCGCTTTCTCCTGTGTGAGATGTGAAGCACTGCTTGGCTTCACAGTGCCCGCCAGTGTGTAGATACTGCTGAGCATGGAGGAAGGAGAAAGGCTCAGTTTGGTAGATTAGCTGAAACAGCAAGACACATAGAAAACCAGAGATTTGAACTGGCCTGAGTGGAGGCATGTGGTTAAACTAGGTCATGCTGGTCTATGCCTCTGCCCTTCTCATTTCTACGTCTATTTTCCAGTTGCTCACTGGGAAGGGAGACAGGAATGTGTCTATGTCTCATTGTGTAACTATCTTGGTCAAATACATTTATTCGTTGATCAAATATTTATTAATCTACATGTAGCAAATGTAAATACAAATGAACACAGAATTATTTACCTCTTCTTTCACCCATTAGCTTAGAAAACCAAGGATTAACTGGACGTGTCATCTTTCTGCCTTATGGGATGATGGATTATTGGGCAGAGCTCTTAGCTAGGTTGTGCATTTAAAGATACAAATGCATGTGTGAATCTACAATTATCTCAAAAGACAAAAGTTAAAAAATATAAATAAACCAGTAGATAAAATACACATGTGTAGGCCCCACTCCGGATCCATTCCTTGGTATCCCTGGCACAGACCTAACACCTAGGCTGAATGGGCCTCAGGGTTGGTCTGGGGTAGCATTTCTTATGCATGAATGCAACTCAGCAGCTAAACAGAGCCAGGACAATGGGCGCTCTCGCTGCCATTCTGCAATTGGACAGCAATCAGCAGCATTCAATATTGCTGCAGCAATTTGGTGAGAAATCCCAAGGCACCTGACAGTTTTAAGAAATCCTTTTGCAACCATCTGTGTATTCCAAGTTACAGGGATAGCTGGCTTTGGGCTTCTTGGCACTAGCCACCCTCACCTTTTGGTCTTCGATGTATTCAATGTCAGCTGTATTGTAGCCATCTCGCTGGCCCTGATGGAGCACCTTGAAGCGCCTCTTGCCTATGCTATCAACCACTGAGCGGCCGTCGGCAAAGAATTGAACATTTCTGATCTCCAGGATGCAGCCATATTCCGCAAACCTGTTTTTTGAGAATGGAATCAAGAAAGAAGATCCTTGATTAGTTCTGCTTCCCTGGCCTGACCCCCAGCCATTTCTGTAACTCCATGCTGTGCCCCAAGGGACTTCTGCCTATTTGCCTATCCCCATGTTTATAGCTACAACTGTAAACTGGCAGTGCCAGTGTGGGAAAAAACCATAATGTATTAGTATAACTGCTACCATTTATTGAGCATATACTATGTGCCAGTGCTATGCCTTGAATGTTTGTCCCCTCCAAAACTCACGTTAAAATTTAACTGGGCCAGGCGCGGTGGCTCACGCCTGTAATCCTAGCACTCTAAGAGGCCGAGGCGGGCAGATTGTTTGAGCTCAGGAGTTCGAAACCAGCCTGAGCAAGAGCGAGACCCCGTCTCTACTAAAAATAGAAAGAAATTAATTGGACAACTAAAAATATATAGAAAAAATTAGCCGGGCATGGTGGTGCATGCCTGTAATCCCAGCTACTCGGGAGGCTGAGGCAGGAGGATCGCTTGAGCCCAGGAGTTTGAGGTTGCTGTGAGCAAGGATGATGCCACGGCACTCTAGCATGGGCAACACAGACTCTGTCTCAAAAAAAAAATTTAATTGTCATTATAGCAGTATTAAGAGGAGAGGCCTTTAAGAGGTGATTAGGCCTCCACCCTCATGAGGGCATTAATGCTGTTATTGTGGTAGTAGAGTAAGTTTGTTATAAAAGGGAAAATTTGGCCCCTTTTTCTCTTTCCCTCTTGCTCTCTATTTCCTCTTCAGCCATGTGATGCTTTCTGCCATGTTATGACACAAGACAGCCCTCACCAGATGCCAGCACCTTAATCTTGGACTTCCCAGCCTCTAGAACCATGAGACATAAATTTCCATTGTTTATAAACAGTCCATGGTATTCTGTTATAGCAGCACAAAATGAACTAAGGCAACCAGGAACTGTGTTTTATGTGCATTATTAACTTACCAATCCTCCCAACAAACCCAACGAGGTAGGTACTATCATTGTACCCACTTTACACATAAGGAACTGGGATATAGAAAAGTTAAGTAATTTGCCCAAAGTCAAACTTGTTCCAAGGCTAGAGCTAGAGTATGAACCCAGGCAGTTGGACTCCAGGACCCACTCATACAAAACAAGTTTTATAATATATACTATCTATTTAACAAAAGATTAATTCTGGGATTCTAGTAAATAAGCAGCCTCTCACAGGGTTTACCTATGCACCAGAAGGACCCTGATCCTTACAAATGCTCTAAACATCGTGAGCTAGGCCTCCCTATCTCCTGGGAGCACCCCAAAATTAAACAAAAATCCCTCTCCACCCGATCTCCCTTTATTCACATGGCTCCCCACTTACCCTTTAACAGGATCTCCAAGGCACATGCCAAACTGTCTCGTTCCTGTCTCAATGCATCTACGAATCATCAGGCGGTAACAAGGCTCAAAGATGTGCAGGGGACAAGGAACAGTGGGATAGGCCATAGTACACACGAAAATAGGCACATTCTTATTTAAGCTGTCAGGAAGAATAAATGACATGAATCTCAAAACAATGGGGCAGAACACAGAAAGGTCGGTCAAACATCCCCATGTGGTACCCCCCAGGGAAGACAAACAGGCATCAAGTTTTGATGGCTGATAAAAAAAATACTGAAATCCAGCTGATAACTGTGGGCCGAGTCCCATTATCAGGTACAGAGGTTGGCCTAAGGTCTAAGAGATTAAAATTGGCATTCCACACATTCTAATTTAACTGAGGAAGTTCTCTAGTGTCTTAACATTGTGGGTGATAGCTATACCTCATATTCTTTCTTTCTTTCATGCTCTCCATTCAAAATGATCTCTTCAAGTGTTTTGCTGGCAGTGTGGGGAAGGATACTGATGGTATAAGTGGACTCAGCTCCCCAGAGGCGTGGTAGGAAATTCTCTGCAAGGTCCCCGTGGGCATCTCAAATTTGCAAAGCCCCGCCCCAGAGAATCTGCATAGCAGGCCCAGCTGGGAAGAGCGGGGAGCAAGAGACAGACAAGAATAACTCAGCCCAGTGATGTTCAAACACTCCTGTGCATCAGAATCACGGGGGCGGGCGGGGGGAGGAGGGTCTGAAATCTAGATGACTGGGACACAATACCCCCAGAACCCAGGAGGCTGCCTTTCAACAAGCACCCTGAAGATTCAGACACATGGCCTATTGGGGAACTACCAGCCAAGCCAGTTCCTTCTGGAGCCCAATCCTCTTATTTGTCTAGTAAATCCAATACAGGAACATCTGAACCTACCAAGAGATATAAGACCATCTGCCCAAATCTAACAAGAGTTAAGTTTAGGATTCCTTTAAATAGAAAGCCCTTTAGTATATTCCAGTGTTTGTTAATGAAACCTTAAATGAGATTTGAGAAGGGTGCTTGGAGAGGCTCCATGCTAACTTACAGATCAGAAATAAAGATGCCCTGAGTATTTCCAATATAAATCAATAAGAAAAAAAAAGATTTCTAGTTTCTGGGGAAAACATATCATTTAAAGTGAGAAGCACATTCAAACAAGCTGGTCGTAGAGTTTAGAAATGTTCTGTATACGGTGGGCATAAAACCATAACAGTTTTTGCTCTTAGGAACCTTGCCTCTGGGATGCTGTGAGGATTCTACTGGGGATGGGAAGAGGGGAGGGCAGCAGCAAGACAGAAAGAAGTTAGTGATTGCCTGCTGCTTTTTCTGCTCAGTTAGCTGTTCTCCCAACCAGGCAGAGAGCTGGGAGCCTCACTTATGTTTCCACCCCTTCCCTTCACCTCTCACACTACCTGTGCATGGCAGAGGAAGCATTTAACAACAAGTATTAGTGCTATTACCATTTCTTAAGTGCTTTTTACTATGCATGAGTTCATATGATCTTCATAACAAGTCTATGAGGTAAGAAATATTATTATCCTCAAGCTACAGATAAGGAAACTGAGGCCCAGAAAGGTTAAGTGACCTGCCTAGGGTCACGAAGTATACTCACTGAGGCAGCACTGGTTCTTAAGCCCAGGTCTGGCTGACACCGAAGTTCTTAACTTCACAGCACCTCCTTATGTATTTGAAGACAGTCTTCCAGACACTTCGTAAGTTCCCCTGATTAAGCTACTCTAATTTAATTCTGCCAGTGACACCTTGTTAGTAGAGCCAAGACGTGTCCTGGTCAGTGGTTTGGCTTATGCTTCTTCAGTAGTGTGTGCTGGTAAATGTTCAACAATTGGCTGTCTGGGTTGGGGAGGAACCCCTGGTTTGCAGTATTTGCCAATTTCCACAGCATAAATACTCTCATCTCTCACTGTGGCCGATTTCAAGCTACCAACACGACATTACTGAGTGGGGAGCCAGGAACAAATGTGTGCATTCAGCTTTCATGAGCTGGAATGAGTGAAACTGAAAACAGAACATGCTTGTACATACTTAGAAAGTTCTTCCATTTCCTCTTCATAAAGCCTCCTTCGTTCCTTGAGTTCTTCTGGAAGGAACTTAGCTATTAGCTCTTCCATTATTACATTTTTGCTGTATTTTCTTGATGCCAAGCACTATGTGGGGAACACGGCAGTTACAGAATATGCAGTCATCAGAAAAACACAAAACACTTGTGATATAATCAGTAGAATAGACAAATGACCCACATATTGGAGTAATTTGGACCCACAAATTGGCAGCTGATACTATCATGATATACGTATTCTCTGGATGCTGGAATTTAGTTTTTTTTTTTTAAATACATGCAATTGATTACTTTTATAATTAGAAAAAAATATTTTAACAATGGGGGAAAACCTGCATTGGAGTTTTTAAAATCTCATAGCTTTCCTAAAAACTGAAATTGAGATAATGTTCTTGTCAAAAAAGGGAGGAAATCCTTTTCTTTCCATTTTCTGATTATTCTGTTTATCAGCTCATAGAAATAGTTTCCATCTGGGGTATACTGAAAGTCAGTGGTCAAAAGGTTCAGGGAACTAAAAAGTAATTTTCAATCATCAATCCTTTCCTGCCCCTCCCCACTTCCACCACCCTAGTGCTTGACTTCTGGATGTTTCAAAGTCTACAGATATTTTTCTCTTCTAACCTTAGTTTTTTTTTTTTTTTTTTTTTTTTTTGAGACAGTCTCACTGTGTTGCCCGGGCTAGAATGCCGTGGCATCATCCTAGCTCACAGCAACCTCAAACTCCTAGGCTCAAGCAATCCTTCTGCCTCAGCCTCCCGGGTAGCTGGGACTACAGGCATGTGCCACCATGCCCGGCTAATTTTTTCTATATATTTTTAGTTGTCCAATTAATTTCTTTCTATTTTTAGTAGAGACGGGGTCTCGCTCTTGCTCAGGCTGGTTTCGAACTCCTGAGCTCAAACAATCCGCCCGCCTCGGCCTCCCAGAGAGCTAGGATTACAGGCGTGAGCCACCGCGCCTGGCCTAACCTTAGTTTTTAAAAAACACAAACAGCTAAATATTGGCGATTTTGTTTGCTTATCTATTTGTCTTTTTAATATACCATCTAGATATCATTGAGATTATGTTATAAATCATGATTTCAGAACCAGACTCAGGCTCAGTTGTCACTATTACTCTCCTCCCAAACACCCCTACCCCACGCATATCTAGGAATCTGTAAGTAGTGTGTATTTAATCTGGGGGTTGATGTGAACCAAACAATGGATGTTAGAACATCTGCAGAGAATTGCTTGCTATGGAAACTATCCCTACATAGCCAGCAGGGGGAGCTCCTGAGTATAAAACTGCTGGCTTCACCCAATATTGGTCCTTTCCCAGTACGGGCTGTGTCTCTACTCTGTAGTGAACATGACTGGAATATTTGTCTCTGTTAAAAATGATATAAGTATGATCCTGTATGAATACACAGAGACAGATAAGAATATCCTCTAGTCCCCGAGTCTGGGACCCCACAGCATCTGCCTCCCGGATGCCTTTTCAGCCACTGTCATTGCCTGGCTACAGAAGAATCAACTGTGTTGCCCAGTCCCAGTTTTCGGGGACAAGCAGTGACTCAGGAGGTAGTCAATCCAAGAAGGAGGTGACCCTTCTGCTGACGCTAAAACAAAAACCCAGGAAGGGCACACACTAAAATGTTAACAGTGGTTTTCTCTAGGTGCTGAGCATATGGGTAGATTTTTCTTCTTTCTGCTTATTTGAGTTTGGTAGTGTTGGCACAACACAGATGTATTGTTTAAATATAAGGACCATGGGCTTCTCACCTACAATCAGGCCATCAAATCCCACCCCTTCATCTAGGGAAAGGTATGACATTGACCCTCTCCCCAATCCTGATACACACCCTCAGGGCTACCCTTGAGGATTATTTCACTCCATTCCCTTAATTTAGATGTTGGGGTCATGGGAAAGCTCCACAGGTGACTTCTCTGGACTACATTCACCTAGAGATAGTCTTGCATCTCCAACCTCTCCTCAGGAATGACAGAGGTAAAGAAACATTAATATTGATTGTAAAATGTCACATATAAATTGCTGAGGGAGGAAAAACAAGACAGATTCCTGGGTTTTCTTTTGCCACAGGAAATTCCATCAAGTCCACTTGAAAAAAGAAGGTGGGAGTTTGTGTGATTAATTTTAGAGAACCTAGAAGCCCCAGAGCTTTTCCAGTAGCCAAGTATCTGATAGTAAGTACAGTGGCTCTTGAGGGGCTGGACAAGAACCACATTGTAGGTCTGTGAGGTTCTTCTAGGGCCCTGGGAGCTGATCTGTTCAAACCACGGAACAAACATTGATAATAAGGGGAAGGGGACATCAGAGCTCATCTAGTCCAAGAGAGGACAAAAGAGTCACCCAAGATTAAAATGCATCAGGTGGGATTAGAACCAGGACCCATGTTTATCATCTATTTAATACTTTTTTTCCAGCACAAATTAATCTCATTACTGACAGTTCACAAAAAGCTAGATGTTGCCTCGTTTTCCTGAAGGACTTTGTGGAGAGGGGAAGGGTGGCTTTAAGACAGGAAAAATAGATGGTCTCAGGGGCTAATTTGTCCTAGCAGTCTCTTGGGATACAATTGAACACTGTCTTAGTACCCAATTCCAAATAAGTTATCCCAACCAAGAAAGAAATATTGGTTTACCTGTGAAAGACCATCTTTGCACAGTGGACACTTTGCGTTGTGATCTAGGCATCTTTCAAGGCATTTTAAGCAAAAGGTATGTCCACAAGGTGTTGTAACTGGCTCATAGAATAATCTGCAATTTAGGAATTAAAATGGAAGAAAGCTAAAATAAAACCAAAGATAAAAGAGCTACTCAAGGTTAAGGTTTTATAGCAATATTTGAAACATTCTAGTAGGGAGGAGAGTTCTTTTAATAACTGTTCTTGTACTTCAGAAAAGCATTTTCTTTTTATTTCTGAGCTGGATTTAAAATAATGCATTTATTAAAGTTTAGGACATAGCTAGATCATTTTGTAACATTAGTTCCAGTTAATCTCTTCTGGGCATCCAGATTTTTTCCTTGTCTGGTCCAAGAAAAATAGAGATTAATGTCCACAGTGTCTGAATAAATTCCATTCTAAAAATATTTAGCCAACCTGTTCACCTGAGTATATGTAAACACAAAGACAGATAGATACACACAAACACACTTAGACATTTACCCATTTAAGCACTTTACATCATATTTCCATGGAAAAAAACTTGGTTTGCTTGCTAACCTTGATTCCTCTTCTTACCTAAGCAACATTTACTGTGCGAAGGATCTCGAAATTGCACCTCTAACAGATAATATTTTGTTAATATATAGATGGATAATTTTCCTAGGGGTAGTAGAGTAATGTCATTAATGTGCTTACTGATGTAGATTAGACAGATATGGATATATATGGATATGTGTACATACATAAGTATACATACATAAACTTCAATTATATCCTATTTTAATTGCTTTGGGAGAGCAGGACATTGTCAGAGCAATCTGGGGATCATTTTTTAAAGCTGTTCTGTTCCTTCAGAGACTCGTGGATTTATTTGGCTTAAGGAAGGGCTCACCTGCAGCAGGGTCAGTGGGTAGCGGCAGCTGAAGATGACGGTTGAGAAGTGGGGCTTGCACTCACCAAGTGTGGAGCATAGAAAGAAGGGAAAGACGCCTGACCAGCCTATTTTGACCTCACAAGAGTGTTCAGTTGAGAGGAAGAGGCCGCCAGCTGCACGGCTCCCTCGTGTGGCCTGGAGGTACACCCACAGCCCGGCAGGCACTGCCCCGCTGAGCAGAACAATCAAAACGTCAGAGCTGAAAAGTACTCGGGAGGAAATCGAACACGCAAACTAGAATTAAACTGAGGTCCAGAGAGGGGGTCAAGTCGCTTGTCTAAGTGTACACAGCCAACTGTTGACAAATGAAAGTCTAGCCAACTTCCACTTACAGTCCTGTGCCTTTTCTGTTACGACAATGATTCCCGGCCACTGTTGTGCATGAGAATCGCCTGGGGACCTTTATCTTTAAACAGCTCTCTTGATGTATAATTGACGTGCAATAAACTGAACAGACTTAAAGTGAACAACGTGATAAGCTTTGACATATGTACACACCTATGAAACCATCACCATATACCCATCACTCCCAAACATTTCCTCATGCCCCTTTGTAAACCCTCCCTCCTGCCCTTCCCCATCGCTTGGGGAGCTTTTGAAAAAACTTCAGAAACGTAGCATGGCACCTACAGAGAATCAGGTCTGTAGGCTCAGGGTACCAGGTCAGGCATCAGGATTTTTTAAAGCCCCACCCCCCGGTGGTTTTAATGGGCAGCCAAGTTGAGAATCACTGTATTACACAATCCTACTAATCTCTGCATTGGCGAACCTTCTGTAGGGGTCTTTGAACATAATTACCAGAGTCGCCTCGGAGCTTTAAAAACATACACATGGAGAAGCTCCACTGGCTAAAGTTCACGATTCAACAGGTCAAGAGGAGGGGCAGAGATCTGATATTTTTAATAAGCCAATGAAGGTCTGGAGTAGAAGAGAGGCTTTTCATATATTCGCTTTTTTGTACTTTTTGAATTTTACGATTCTGTTTAAAAAGTAGTTAATTTACTTAACAGAATTAATAAATTTTAGTTATCAAATTGACAAAAACATAAATTTAAAATAAACTACTCTTTATGATGGAGGTCCTAACCAGTGCACTAAGGCAAGAAAAAAAAATGAGGATTGGAGAGGACAAAACCAAATCTGTCATTATTCAGAAATGGTATGACCATAAAGTTAGAAAATTGAAAATAATCTACAGAGTGATTATTAGAATTAATAAGAATTCATAGAATTAGCAAGGTTGCTAGATAAATATATATGCACAAACAGTTGTAATATATATGCCAGTAACATATGTTAGAAAATACATTTTTAAAAAGATGATACTTATAACTGCTTTTAAAAATCAAGTACCCAGGAATAAATCTAACAAAAGTGGTGAGAGACCTTTATTGGAATAAACATCTCCCTGAGAGAAATTAAAGAAGATTTAGATACGTCCCAATAAAAAATCCCTATAGATTATTTCATTTGTTTATTTTTGTGGAACTAGACAAATTGATTTCTAAACTTTATAAGGAAAGGCAAAAGGCCAAGAGCCAAGACACATTTGAAGAGCAACGATGTGGAAGGACTTGTCCTACCAGACATCAGAATTTATTACGAAGCTGTGGTGATTAAATAGTTTATGACTAGCACAAGGACAAATAGACCCATGGAATAGAATAGAAAGCCCAGAAATACATCCAGACATGGGTTCTTGACTTATGACAAATGTGGCACTTCAAAGCAGAGGGGGGAAAGATTTTTCAATACATAAATAGCATTCTCAATAAATGTTGTTAGGATAGTTGGCTATCTATAAGGGGTAACGAAATTGGACCATCTCTTACCCCATACACATAAATCAATTCCATGTGGGCTGTAAAAATGTGAAAAGCAAAACAATAAAGCTTTCAGAGAGAATATGACCTCAAGGTAAAAAAAAAATTCTTAAACAAGACACAAAGAAACACCAACTACAATTGGAAAGATTGATAATTTTGACTGTGTTAAAATGAAGAACTTTTAAGTTCATCAAAAGATGTCATTAAAAGAGCAAAAAGGAAAGCCACAGAGTAGGAGAAAGTATTTGTAACACATGTGACTAACAAATAACTTGTATCTAGAACATACATAAAGCTCCTACAAGTCAGAAAGAAGAATCCACTAGAAAACGGGCAAACACTTATATGCACCAGCATATGGAGATAATGTTCATAGCAATATTTTCCATAATATCCCCTATAGAAACAACCCAAACATCCATCTATAATAAAATTGATAAACTTTGGTGGATTCATATAATGCAATACTATACGATAATGAAAATGAACAAACTTCATACATGCAATAACATGGATAAATCTTAATACTGAGTAAAAGAAACCAGACTGAAAGAATAAATTCTGGGTAGTTCAGTTTATACAAAGTCTTAAAAACTAGGCAAAACTAGATTATACTGCTTAGAGATGCATACGTGGGTGGTAAAACTATAAAGAGGAACAAAATACAAGACGTCAAGATAGTGGTTTCAGGGGTGTGAAGGGCAGTCCTGACTGGGAAGGGGCATACGGGCAGCTTCTGGGGTCCTGGCAATGTTTTATTTCCTGAACTGAGAGGGGATACATAAGTATCCTCTTTACAATATTTTGTCAAGAGAACACATTTATATTTTATGCACTTTTCCACTGTGTATATTTCACAATTTAAAATGTTTTTCAAAAGTGTGATTTGGGAACCACTGCTGTGATCTAATTACCAGAGCAGCCAAACCAGAATATCTCATTTCCTCGGTAACTTGAGTCCTATGAATGCTTTTTATACATTATTTGATGGTGCTAATGATGAAGATGATAGATAAATCTGTATCTGCAACTAATGTGCAAAACCATTTTTCCTGAGAATTTCACAATTGGGCCTATTGTTCATTTAAGAACGTAACCCATCTAAAATAACAAAGATATAACTGGCTAATTAATTGCCATAAATACTGACATTTAGTGAGCAGATGAATGAAACACACACAAAAGGACACAGCAATCTCTTATGGAGAGCTGTGATTAAAATGCCCCTGACTGAGTGGTAACAAACAAAAAGGCAGTCACAGATGCTGCATAATTATCGCTTTGAAATAGTTCAAGGTTCAGATGCTCAGAATATATCACTTTTCAATACTCAATTCACTTCTATATTTAGGGCTACTCCGCTACTCCACACAGGCTGACTGAGTAAAGTGACTGGGAAGAGATGGAATATATTTCTCTTGCTATACTTCCGGTATGTGCAATAATTAACTTTATATATTAAAAAGCGGTAATTATGATTCGCTCCATTGTATTGTTAAGGAAATTAAAACCCGGACAGGTTAAATAACTTGCCCAAAGTCACACAGCTCGCTGGTAAGTAGAGGGGCTTTGGGACATGAAGTCAGATCTGACTTCCAAGCCCACCTTCCTTCTCTACTCTATGACACAGCAATGGCTATGTGTGTTTCTATATCTCAAATAGACATCATCCATTGACATGTAGATGCACACATTCATACACATACTTTTCTCCCTTCCTCGCTTTCTCTTTCCTTGGAGAGGGGGAGACTAGAATTCCTCTCCCTTTTATTTGCCACTGTAGGTAACAACTTCAGAAAATGCTTCAGGAAGGCATTTATAAATCAGAGCAGGGCCAGATTTTCTCACAACAAAACATTTTACATTGTTACGGTGATGGAGTAAACAATAGTAATAATAAATGCTTTCAGTTAGATGTCAGCTCGGATAAAATGTTTGGCTTGTCTGGAAATAGCTATCTTTTCCCACCAGTTACATCCTTGTATTGTGTTCTTTTGCTATCAAATGAGAGCAAAGAGGGAAGAATAAGGAGGGGGAATAAGAAGGGGAGGGAGGGAGAGAGAAGGAGGGAAGGAGGGAGGGAGAATGAGAATGAACTGACTCCTTAACACCCAGCTACTTGAGTAGCTAAAACTAGGTTAAATATAAAGCTTCTTGTTTCAATTGACAAAGAGGTCACTGGGCCATTAGGTAACTGGTTCAAATATCAAACATTCTCGCTTCACATCTCAAAATATCCTTGTCACCCCCCAAGGTGCTGCTCTACAGCAGTCCCAGAGGTGGCCCCCAATGGCTAGGGTATCTATACCAGGTAAATATCAAGGGAGGATTTTCAGCTACTAAAGATTGAGGGGCAGAGGTCTGAGGTGTTAGAGTTAGGGGGTAACTTCCCTCAGCAGAGCTCTCCCAATGCAGCAAGGGAGACTTGAAGATTGGAATGATCCTCATTAACGCACCCTCCGATTATTGTTCCATTTGTTCTTTCCACCTTTTCCCCTGTGGAACTTATAATCTGCTCCTAATTTTCTCCCTAGAATCAGAATGTATAAATTCACACTCTAACTTGTCTTTCTACCAGTGCAGCACCATGGGACTGGGTTTCATTCTAGAAACTTGTACGAGTGGTACATATGTCTAGTTTCATGACCCAGCAGATTGTTAGAGACTATCTTTACTCTGAGACTCTCTCCCCCAAAGACACACGAGGCTAGAGAACCTCATAATAATGCTAACAACAATAAAAAGGAGAAAAACACTAAAGAGAGGTGGAAACAGGAACTTTTCAAGACTGTAATAATTCAAGCTAAAGCACACATATGAAATAGCTACTGTCAATATCTGATAGACAAACCCTGTTGGAAGGGGAACTACATGTTTTTGACCAAGGGCTTCAGTTTTAAGAGTCTTAAGATCAAAAATGCTTTCTAGATTTGGCAGGGTCTTATCACCATAAAGCAGTGAGAGTCCGGCCATAACTTAGCAGCCTATAGAACAGCTACTCCAGGCAAAGATGAATTTTTGTTTTGAAGTCTTACTTAAAACAGGGGGGACAGGATAAGGGAAATAATGGCTTTTAAAGTCAGAGTGAGCCAACTGGAAGGGGGTCTTATCCTCTTCGTGTTTATTTCTTGGACCAAATTTTGAACCCTTCTTCAAAGCCCCCTGTTGAGATCAGGGACAAACAAGATGAAAGGGAGAAAGCAGAGGAAGAGGAACAAAAGAACTTAAACCTCAGGATTCTTAGCCCTCAGAGAAAACACAAACAGGATGAGTCTGTATGTTTGACTTCCTGCCCCTGGATGTTGGCGGGAGTCTTAAGGAGGATAAGTACAACAGAGACCTGGTCCCTCTGAGCAAGCAAAATCAAGTCTACCCCGCAGCTCGCGCCATGGGCTTAGAGCCACGATGGTGTTACCTGTGGAGGCCCATTTCTCTGTTTGGCAGCAGGGTTTCTCTATGTCAGACCTTTGACATCATGCACCTGCCACTCTGTTGTGAGGGGGTGAGGGAAGCAGTGAAGGGGAATTGCTTATATAGCCCCTCCCCAACCTAGCCCACGCCACCCAAACAAAGCCCTAATGGTACATGTAGCATGGCGCTTCTACATTCCATCTACCGAACCATTCATTATCAGGTCTGCCCAAGCTTATGAGCAAATCTGATAACTACAGTTTTTTTAAGAGAAATTAAAAGTCTACATGTCAGATAACAGCTGCCTTACTCATTTTGATTCATACGACAAGAAATGTCATTCAAAATACAAATGCATGCGATTGATATGAAAAGCATATGTGCTCATAAAGGACAAGAAAACATCTGAGGAGTCGCTGCTGGCTGGGTCCCACTGTGTGCTGTACCAAAAGACTTTTCTTGACATCTTGTCTCTTGGGTCAACCATCTCAATTTTATACAAATACCTCAGCCTCCTCTTAATGCTCTTTTGGAAAACAGACATGTTTGAAAATCTGCTGAAAGCTATAGACCTTGCCCTGGAAACACACACACACACACACACACACACACACACTTCAGGACATTCATAGATCTATTAGAATCCATACATAGAACCTCCTCAGGGTTCCATGGACCCCAAACCTCTAGTCTAGAAGGAAAAAAATAGTTAACATTTATTGAGTGCCCACTACATGCCAGGCACTATTCTAAGTGTTAAATAGATTTTCTCAATTAATCATAACAACCCCTTGGGGGAGATATTACTGTTCTCTATTTTACTGATGAGTAAACACTGTTAGAGAATGTCACTTGTTCCAGGTCAAACAGCCAGTAAATGACAGAGCCAGAGTTCAAACCTTGGCTTTGGAGCCTCTCCTCTTAGCCACTAAGTCACAGCTGTGAAATGAAACAACTGAAAGTAATTACAAAAAATTTTATGTGGTCACACACACTATGATCATAGCATCTTTCGTTTTCTGGGTAGGGGCTGGGGGTAGGGGAATGTAGATAATTTGCCTGTCCAGAGATCTGAGAAAGTAGAGATGATGTGGCACTTTTAGTTGGAGGGGAGATGCTTGACCAACTATCTCATGCCCACTACTAACTTTTATTAATAGCACAACACAAAACAAAAGTTAGTCAGGCCCTCTACTTGGCTTTCAAAGAATAGGCCTGTGATATTGACATTAGCCCTTAAGCTTTGAGTTCTTGATCCAGTAATTGAGATTAGTTCCAGGGTCACACACTTAAATATTTGAATACGGGCCAAGAAAGTAATGCAAATGTGAGACACAGGCTGGTATAAGGCAGTGGGGGCGGGGATGTGGCCAACCAGGGACAGCATGTCCTATCTCCAGACATTCACATTTAACAAAAACAAACCTCATGAGAGCCAAACAAAAGACATATTCAGCCCATGGGCCATCAGTTTGTGACCTCTGAGTAGACCTTTCCCTTCCCACTCTCCAGGTATTTCCAAGTCAGGAGTCAGGAATGCAGGGAATGTAGTCTGTGGGCTACATTGGACACAAGCTGGCCCATGTGACAACCAATGTAGTGATTTCCATTTTGTTAGAGCCATGCTTTCATGTGCTAACCAACCAAGCAGTAGGTCACTGGTGGAAAGGTCCAGGCACCAGAGAGGAGAAAACATCAGGCAGTTAAGTGACAGTACACATCACATACCTCATACACAGGGAGCATTCAAGGTCAGATGCGTCAAAAGATGCAAGTGGAATACTAAGAACTGGTTTGGCCCCCGGATCAGCAGGAGGATCTGTGATTTAGAAAGCAATAAGTCAGAGTTGGACCAACCTCGGTTTCACAGACAGTACCTCTGGGGCAAACAAACCCAATTTATTTTTTAATTTGCCACTCTCAACACCTCCCAGAGAGTTGATTTAGGGGCCACCTGAACCATTAAGAATGAGATGCCTTGAAGCAGGCTCTCAGAGGTTTCCAGCAGCTCCCAGAGAAAGAGAAGTGCAAGTCAGGGAATGTCCAGGAAGCCTGTGGACTTCATTCAAATGCAACAGGCATCTCGCTCAACAGCAGAACCAGCAGCAACTCCATGGACTGAGCCAGGCCTTGAAAGCTGAAACTGAATCTGGCACTGCTAACCTGTCTTGGAAAGACACTAAGCTGCAGCTACTGCTTCTCAGATACCTACCTATGGGAACACAACTGGGAATGAGCAGCATGAGGCCTGACCTAATTTCCCTCATCCTACATTCCTAGAATGGGGCTGGGGGTAGTGACAGGTTGGTCTGGAAGGAAATGGCATTGTCAAGAGCATGAGATGTCATTACTTGATACTATGCTTCACCTGATGCCTTGGCTTTCCATTGTAATTATTATTGAGTGCTTACAGTGTGCGTGGCCCATGCATGATCTCACAGAAACCTCACAGCAACCCCTGAGGTCACACAGCGGGTAAGTGCCAGAGCTGGGTCACATACCCAGAGCCTGACGAGCCCCCAGGTGGAGGGTAAGTAACTTGCATAGATTAGTGAGCCCAGGCATCTTGTCCAAGCTACTTTCTCCCTGGGTGGAGGTGGTACCTTGCTTGGAGGATTTATTAGGCACCTCCATGTCTTCTTGTGGTTCAGTTTGGCAATGTTTCCTTTTCTTTTCCTGGCATTTGCCAGTCTTGATGGAAGCAGCTTCTGGAGAGGTAGCATCCTGCTTCTCCTCCTCTCCTTCCTGGGTTTTCATGTTGTCTTGTGGCCCATCCACCTTTACTTTAGCTGGGTCCAGCAGGCTGCCGCCATCTCCCCTGGCTGCTGCTTCCTCCTGACTAGAACAATGTGGGAGCTCCTGATTTTCCTGGATGAAGAAAAGGCCAAATATCAGAATCTACTTAGGACCAATATTGTCCTATGATATTCCTACCCAGAGGGAACAAAGAGAAAACTATATAGCCCTGATCCCCACCCCTGATCACTTAGTGGACACACAGCTCAACTGAGGGGCAGACATAAGGCAAATTTCCCACTTCCTGTCCACACAGCATCTGCAACAAAGGCATGCCGAGCTTGGGTGAAGTTAGGGAACTTCCCTAGGCAAGGACAGAAAGGTGTGTAAGGGCAGAGGCTCCTTGGGCAGTGGTTGAAAGAGGAATTGTGAGAGATAGCACCAGTCCCCTCCTATCCAGATCATTCCCCAGTAACCATTTTAGGGAAACCAAGGCATGCAATGAGAGTAGATCCTGCCACCCAATACCTCCTCTCACCCTCACCACCATTCACAGCCACGTACAATCCCCAAACTCCAACTCCAGAAGGACTTTGGGTAGGGCTTTGGCACAGGTCTGTTCACGGGCCTGCCAAGTCACCACATGCTCCAGAGCTATATGTTACACTTGTCAAATGAACAAGGGACAAACTATTCCTTTTATGAGATTTTGGATGAAAAGTCTGAAAAAGAGACAAAATCATGGCAAAAAAAAGCGCAATAATGTCTCTAGCCTTTTCAAGAATTTTTGCTCAGGAGAGGGATATTTGAAAATGGATCTACAAATAAATCCAATGACATGTTTATGCAAATTTACCTGCAGAACCCCTTTATAATCTACATCCATAGTCTACAGGTCAAAATGTTTATCTTGTCATTTCCCTCCAATGCCTACCAAAAAAATTTGGTAGCTGGATGAAAAAGAGGAGCACACAATTGGGAGAAAACAATGAGGTGAGGAGAAAAAGGATGTGAGTTTTCTGTCTCTAACCTGGGGAGTTCAGGTTTTCTCCAGCACCATGGCAATACTACAGTCTTCACTGTTCATGAGCCCAAGCATTGTCCACACAGGAGGACACTGCTTTGCAAAGCAAAGTTTAAGCAGAAATCCAATCCCTGTTCCCCAGCTGGCTCACACTGGAAAGCCAGAGCTGCTCTTTTTCTTCATTTTGGATTGAGCTGCAATTAGAAGTCACTCCAGGCACTTTGGTTCAGTATTAGCATTCTCAATCATGTAATGGTGATCTCAAACAATTATTGAAATCACTAGGAGTTCTCTGATTTCAGGAGATACTCTAAGACTACCATCCCCAACCCCCGGGATGGGACAGGGACAGTACCGGTCAGTGGCCAGTTAGCACAGCAGGAGGTGAGCCGCACCCCATCGATCGCATCACTGCCTGAGCTCCACCTCCCCCCCGCATCCCCGCCCCCGCCACCTGCAGTCTGTGGAAAATTGTTTTCCACGAAACCAGTCCCTGGTGCCAAAAAGGTTGGGGACCACTGCTCTAAGTTCTGACTTTTAAAAAAAATTCAGGCACACATGCACTTTATTCTTTCTCCAGAGTAGGCAGAGAAGCTGGGAAAACATGAGAGCCCAGGGCTTACATACAGGGTAAGAACATTTGGCACAAATGGAGGGGAAATTGCTCCCCAAAGGTGCCCGGGCATTCAATGCTAAACTCTGCACTCGAGTCTGAACCTCTGAGCCCCAGCTTCTGCCCACTTACCCTGCCAGGAAAGCCAGGGCCCAGAGCCCATCTCTCTGTGTTCTGTTCCCTTGTGTTCAAAGAAAGGCACAAATATGTCTCTTCCTCCCAAGAATTTCAACTCAACATTCTTCCCACCATCTCTTTTCTCTTAGCTGCAACAAATATGCAGTGGAAGCCTACTTATGTGTAAGACATAGTGCAGGAATATGAAATTATCTCCATTTGGGGATCAAATGGAGTTGTCTTTGCACAGGGATCTGTTTTGGTGCTCAAAGGCCAGCAGCTTGAACAAACAAAATGCCGGAAAGGAGGGGTTGTCAGGCCCTCTTCCCAGGCTCCACCCCGAAGCCTAGAAACCCACCCCAATTGTATGGTCTAGGGGCAGTGGGCCAATTCCTTTCCGGTTCTATCAAATCTCTCTCTCAACTAGATGTGACCAAGAACTAAAAAAATAAATGTAATAAATAAATAAATAAACTCTGGGACCATGCCTGAAATTTGCAACTGTATCTTTAAGAAGTAATGTTCTTAGCAAAGAACACAACCACTAGTGACTCCATTTCTTCTTTCTCAGGAACCAAAGTAGGAGAGGTAGGGCTCACTCCCCATGTTTGCCCACAAAACAGCCAAATGAAGCGTCACGAGCGAGCTGGGTGAGTTGAGTTTTACCTGTGACAACTTTGGTAGATTATGGCTGGTGCCTTCAGTAGCCATTGACTCTACGTGTTCCTTTAATCTAGGGTGAGGTGCCAACAGCTTCAGGATATCGGGAGAATGTTCCTGAGAATCCCCCGGGAATGATGGTGAAAAGAAACTAAGGAGAAGCTGTGACATAAAACAGAAGACTTCACTACTTAAGTTTCTACAGGTGCTCAGGTGAAGGGGGCAGGGGAAGGAGGGGGCAGGGGGCACAGCTTGCAGGGCAAAACTTGGACCAGTGGCCCCCGACACACCAGGGCAGGGGTCCTCATTTCAGTGTGCATCAGAATCACCTGGAGACCTTATGGAAAATCCAGGTTCCTAACTCCCACTTCCATCTCCCCCAGGTCTGAAGTGTGGCCAAGGAATCTGGATTTTTAGAAGGCACTACAGATGCCTTTGTTACCTAGCCAAGGTTAAGAGCGACCACTCTGGTGCTACCATTCCACAGAAATATCTGCAGTGGGATTTTAAAACCCATCTATGAGGAAAGAGACAAGGGAGGGGAAGTCAGGAGAGAGACCTCACTTGGGGAACCTGGAGTGTCCATAACACCCAAGTGGGTAGAAATCTACAAATGTCTCCTAGATTCCTCACTGTTTCTTTTCTCTGCCTACCCATTTTGCTTCTTCCTCCCCCCAACATCACCCCTGGATCTTTAATCCCTTCAGAGCTGGGAACCTGAGCACTAAAGTGTTAGGAACGGCAGAACCCAAACTTCTTCCCTCTTCTCCCAGCCTCACCTCCCCCATTCTGGCTTTCACTTTCCAGAGAACGTTAGGTTAAGTTCAAGTACTGGGGGCAGGCAGGTTCCTATCTATTACTGGTTTCCCTTGCAATTGGATAAGCTGGGAGGGTAGAGTGAGAAGAACCAGAAAGGACTGGGGGTCAAAGATGTGTGTTCTAGTGCAGGCTTCACCATTAGCTGTTCACATTCTTGATTCAATTTCCCCTTGTGACAGCAGGGATTATGGAAAAAAAAATATATATATATATAGTGTATATATATATAGTGTAACATGTAATACAAGGAGGGCAGGTCACTTGGCTTCTAAAACATGCTCAAGTGTTTACCACCTAGCAGTACCTGCAGTGTCTGGAGACCTACTACAGGATGCTCTACGCCCTGGTTCAGGGTACGTAGTCAGGGTATTCAGTGATCAGTGGAATTTGACAGAATATGAAACTCCAGTTTGATTTATTCTCTGGCTGGCCCCCAGCAGTTTCTTTCATGATGTTCCTTCAGATGCCAGCACTCACCATGTAGCCAAACCCTGTTCAGCCTTCAAAGCCCCGCTCAGTGCTGCCTTCCCTTACTACTCCAGTCTCCCTGCTCTCTCCTGTCCTTTCATGTTCTCTACTGCACCACAATATAGCATCTTAAATGACACCATCTTGTGTTATCCTGGAATTGCACCACAGATGTAAGTCTTTCTCTCCAACCAGATGGCTGGCTTCTGCAGGGCACGTAACAGATGCCCTATAAACACTCATCACACTGGATGGAATTGAATTAAGACGCTTATCCATCCCAGGGCCCAGGGACAGGCCTAGAATTCAGGCCCAAAGTCCTCATACAGATCCTTCCAGCTCTAGGAAATCCACTTCCCATGTATGAGTTGACAAAGAAAGGAGTGAGAGGGGGAGGTGCTCACAGTGCCCCAGGCCATCAATGCCAGCTGTTAGAGGTCCCTCCTCCACAGGAGCCACAGCTGGCCCTCAGAAACCCTGCTGAGTGGCCCAACAGGACCAACCTACTTCTAAGGCAGTCTTCCTGGAATTCTCCCAAAAAAAGCATGATGCTCTTCAGCGGCAGCCACGCAGCATCCCAAGGTACAAGGATGAAAGGGCAAAGGGCAACGGGAGGGAGAAGTAGGCTGAGAGGAGAAATCAAAGGAAATAAAGCAGAAATAACAGCAGCATTTCCCTTCTTCACTCTGCTACCTAAGATCTCTCTCTAGGCCTTCTCAATGGCTTTGGAAAACAAAAGTTGGGGTCAACTCTCAGTGAGAATAATCATTCCACATGATTGAAAGTCAATTTCACTTCAGTGTCAGCCTTAGAAAGGCCCAAATAGGTCCAGAAGGAAAAGAAAAAAGAATCTGAGGTAAAAACTAACACTTTTTCAAAACCATTGGCCTGTGAGTTCTAAGGCAGCTTATTAAGGCCAAGTGAACCTGGACCATCTCTGTCAAATCTTTAGCCCTGAAACTGGAATGATCAGTAAACAAGCACAATTAAGGTCTCTCAGTGTTCTTAAATGGCTGCCAAGACCTCATCAAACTCAATGGAAATTAGCCTCTAAATTTTCACACTAGTTTCAGAACTCCATGGCACTCACCATGAGCATATGCTCACTTGTATTGCCTGGCATTCATATTAACAAATGCAAGATTGTAACCTCCTTGAAGATGGAGACTGTGGCTTACGCCTCTTTGGGTCTCCTGAGCTTCACAAAATGTCTTGCCTCCTGTTAGGCAGTTGTGGAAATGATAACAGCTGATCTATAAAAACAGCCTGGAAAGAGAGGTCAACCCAACTAATGATACCAGAACTTCTGATGCCAACTGGGAAATCGACAAACAGGAGTAAAGAAACCATTCATCTTTGGGCCAGAGACCTGCCTCTGCTGGCCGAGGCATTTGCACACTCTTTCCTTGAAGTCGAAGTTTTTCCCACTGCCTTAGTCCATCCCAGAACTAGATAATTCCATTGCTTCTTTTAACCCAGCCCCACCAGTGAGTGATGAGACCCTGGAGATGGCCTTGCGGGACAGCAGGATGGCGGAGCAGCTAAGACCAGGCTTTGGAAGAAGACAGAGTTGAGTTTGAATGCTTTCCCACGAATCGCTAGCTGTGTGACCTCAGGAAAGTCATCTATCTCATCTGTACATGGGGATAAATAACTGTACCTACCCTCATAGGGATGCTGGAGGGTTTAAATTATATCTTCCATACAAAGTGCCTAGCACAGTGCCTGGTGCAGAGGAAATACTCAACAAATGTTAGCTATTCTTCCTCTTATTATTATTATTACTCACACCATGGACTACACTTAAGATTTGAGGAAGGATCCACAGCTTGGAGCAATTCTCCCTGACCCATGTTCCTCTTAAACACACCTTGTCCACATACCCAAACCAGTTCAAAGCAACTTCTCAGAAAGGAAATCCTCTGTGAAAGACAGAAAATCCAGAGCCCAGTTTCCCCTAGTTCATTGATTTTGCTAAAGCTTCCTCTCTAGAGCCTTCAGAAACCAGTCCTGTCTCTTGCTCCAGCATCCGCTACTCCAGTAAACCACACTGGGGCAGAAGCCTTGGGGCCTGGTGGTAAATAGAGACTGGGGCACAAGAAGAGCGGAGATGACCACCGACTGTGAGCATCCAATTTCCGGGCCAATGAGCCAGACACCAGGAGAGTAAATTACAAAACAATAAACAACAAAGCCCACGAATTGAAGATCTGTGAGCCTTCACTCACATTCTCAGTATTTCATGCAAATTTTTTGGTAACAATCACATACTCCTGGGACCCAAGAGTTGGAATGATTGTTTGGATTATATTATAATGGTCTCTGCCTTGCATCTGTGAGACAGTGTGTTTTATTTCTAGCAAAGGAGTTCTGTGTATGGCAGGGGAGTTGGGACCACCAAAGTCCTTTCCCAGGAGCTGGCTGTCCTGTGCGGCTAGAGAAACTGTGATTCAGGCAAAGAAAAGTTATACAACTGCAGGCAGCCTTACACCCCAGATCAACAGCTAGAATCTCCTCTGGGACCCTCAATCCCCATGTTAAATTGCTTAGTTTTGGTTTTTATCCCACCGACAATCCAGACGGTGGGAAGCAAGAACATTCCTCATAGGCTCCTACAAAAAAGCGGGAACTGGCCAATCTGATTGACACACCAGGAGGATGGTGTTGGTGAGCAATCACTTAGCACTTGTTTCTCCCTCTCATCCCCTTAACCCAGGGAACCACCCACTCAGGACCCCAAATGCCAGGGAGGGCAGCACCCTAACTCCCCTCCCTAGAGAAGACAGAGAGGTGAGGGTCCATTAGGCAGATGGACCTGATGTCATTTCAACTCACCCTCTGGGCTTCAGATCTTGCTCTCTTGTTCTTTCCATCGAGGGACACACAATAGAGAAACTCTCTTAGTGCTTCCTCCACCTTGCCTAGGGTGGCTAACGCTTGGGCTTTTCTAAAGTGTGCCTGGAAGAAAACAGTAGCATTCAGCACCATTTGATTCACCTTATTAATGCTGCTACTATTAATAACAATCATTAAATACTGACTGAGCACTCACTATTGTGTGAAGTGTTTTTAAAGGACTCTCTTATCTACAGCCGTAAAATGTGGGCAGCTGTTCTGAATCCCAAAAAAAGTAACGTGCCCAAAGTAACACAGCTGGTAAATTGTGGAATCAGGGTGTGAACCTGGGACTGACTGATATCAAAACCCGTATTCTTAACCACTGTGCCTTGCTACCTTGTCTCTGCCCCACCATTGTATGGAGGTATCACCAAATGTAGCAAGAGCCCCCATTTGACCACATACTAACTAGCTTTCAAGGCCTGCCCAGATATGCCTTCCTTTGAATTAGTGTGTCGAGCAGAGATCCAGTGTGGCTTGAGTGAGCACCTAAACTTACTGATCATTTTTCAGAAGGGGCCAAGAGAAGGGAAATGATCTCTCCAAGACCTCAAAGGTAGCTAGAGGCAAAGCTAGAGTTAGAGCTGTGGTCCTAGGACTCCCAAAATGCTTTTCCCCACAAAGCAGGCTGCCTTTCCGAGGACTAAGCAGGGATTGAGCAAATATTTTCACTCCTAGGGGCTCAGCTCACTTCTGCTCCCTCATCATGTCTTTAAAAAGTATAAAGAAGCTCATGGCTCCTCAGGCTCCAAGCCTGACTGCCCAGGGAGAGACACAGTAGGGAGATCAGAGGAGCATCCTGGGGAAGAGGAAAGAAGATAAAAATAGAAGGGGAGAGGGCCGCCTTTTGTGTGCCTTGGGACAGGTGGCCATTTGCAACTTGGCTTGGAGGGCATTTCACTTGAGTCACCCAGGCCACCCGTTAGTAGCCTGCTCCCCACTCCCTTGCCTCCATGGCTGACCCTAAGTCTAACTTGGTGAATGAAACAATCCAGGTCGCAGCTGCTGGGCACTCCCCTGCCTCCCCTGCTAACAGGCCTCTGCAGGCCCGGGAGCCCTCAGGCTGTGGCCTGGCTATAGGGGCTGGTGGAGCTGCCTTCTTGGGCAGTGGCCCCTGCTCCAAACCTCTTGGGGACCTCTCCATATGCCCCCACCTCTTTCTGGAGCCTAATCTTGGCTGACATGGACGCTGATGTCCTCCCTTGTTGCTCCTCCCAGCAGCGTTTACCAGGGGGCTCCTGGAGAAAGGCTTGCATAACACTGCAGGGCAGCCACGGGCGTAAGTGTAGGGAGACTGGAGAGACCTCTGGGATCCCACTAATCATGCCAAGCAGCAGCATCCCATCTGTTCCCCCTGCTCAGGGCAGCCAACTCACCCCACTGAGAGCTGTGCCACCTATGGGGTATGTTGAGTACCACTGAGCCCTGGCAGCATGGCTGGAATAGGGCTGCCAGGTGAACCCCCTCCTTTGGGGCATTTCACATAGAAATGATGGGAAATATGCAAATCAGGGTATGAGGTGGTTTTGAATTATATGCATCAGTTCAAGTCTTCTCTCAACCTCCAAGACAAGTTCTCTTATCACTGCCCCCACCACTTACCCCACCACTGTGGGGAAGCGACACTCCTGTTTAATAATTCCACCAACTCTTCCTTCACGGAGAAGTGACTTTTCCCATTTCATCCAAAATGCTCCATTGCTTCTCAGCCCTGCTTCCCCCATGCTGTCAAGGCCCTAGGCCCTAGGCTTAGGGTGGCAGTGGAAAAGGGTTGCAAGGGAAGTCCTCTTACCGCCAGGCAGCTCTCTGACTCGTACTGCCACAAGACCTAAAATGCCCCCACTGAAGCTCCCTTGGGTTAAGACATGAGCATTAAATTCTAAATGTGTTCCTTAGGAAAGAGAACATACTAATCCACCGTCTCTCTTGAAAACCTCATGAAAGAACATGTATGAGTTCACCTGACATCAATGGCAGAGTATACTGCGCTTTACCTGAAGTTCCCAGTTTCTAAAAAATTCTGATAATCCAATATTTTTATAAGCTTGACATCAAAAGTCATTAGGTGACAAAATCTGACCTAACAATGTAAAGTGTTTTAAAATATTTGTCCCACTCAGTGTGAATTTTCATGTCATTTGCTGCCGAAATAGTGTGTTTGATTATGGGGGGCTGTCCAGAGTTCACTGAGGATATTATCTAATATATAGTCTTTCTAAAATCTAAAACATTCTGGATTCTGAACACATCAAGTCCCATGAGATTCAAATAAGGGATCATGGACCTGAACTTGGATAAATTGGTTTTCTGAGGAAGGCATCCTTGGGTTGTGTAGAGAGAGCACTACACCAAGACCCACAAACTTTGTAACTTGCAGAACGTCTTCTCGGCCATGTTCACCTTTGGTCCTCACTGCATCCCTTTGAGGCAATCAGGGCAGTTAGCAACAGCTTCATTTTGCAAACAAGGATACGTGGGGTTCAGAGAGTGAAGACACTTCCCCATGGTCACTTAGGTTTCAAGTAGTAGAGCACAGGCTTAAATTTAATCTTCCAAACAAAATTTTGACATGTGGCCGAGGGCCAGTCCTGAGGCCAGACAGCAATGCAGAAAGTGACACTTTGCATCCTGGCATCCCGAGAGATGCCTAGGCTGTCTTTCTTTCCACCCCCCATGTGACCTAAATGCTTGGGGATACCGGCAGGCCAACTGACTATATTAAAGTCTTGAAATGGCACAACCATTGTGTGAGTGTGAGGATCTCTTCAAAGAAAGCTGGCTAAGCTCCCAAGGATCCTGGCTCAGTAGAAGTTCAGGAGGGCCAGGCCAGCAATACTTCTCCCACCCTCCTCTTTCCAATGTTCCTGGAAAATGTCAATGATGATGATTGTGATAGAAAACATATATAAAATGCTATGTGCCAGGCACTGCTGTAAGCACCTTACATATATTAGCACATGTAATCCTGACAACAACTCTATTTAGTGGGTGCTTTGAATATCTCCATTTTACAGATGAGGAGATGAGGCTCTGTGTGGTTAAGTGATTTGTCCAAGGCCACACAGCTAGTAAAAGCAGCAGAGCTGAGAAATAAACTCAGGCAGTCTAGCTCCCAAGTCCATATTCTGGAGAGTCTCAAAGCCCAGGCTGCTCTGCAGATTGTCAGTTGAAGATTGAATTGGGGAAGAATCCAGTTCTCTTGCAGACCTGAGTCACCCCTTCCCAAGGGCCCCCCAGCTCCTTTGCAAAGCCTTCTTTCTGCTCTTCTTGAGCTCTAGAGTCCCTACTCCCAGGGAGGCAGCCCTTCCTGACAATTCCTGTCTATAGTCCAACTCCTTCCCATCTCTCCCATCCCGCACTCACCTTAAAACCCATTGGGCGGAGCTTACATGCTATTTCTGCATCATGTAGTGCGTCCTCATGAGATTCCAAGGTGAAATAAATTTGAGACCGGTTACTATAAAGCAAGTGGTCATTCGGAGCTGCCAAAATGAGAGGGGTAAAAAACCTTATTAATGGCCCCCGGTACAAGCACGTGATAAGTCCTGTATGAGGATGGATCTTGGGCAAATGACAAGTTATCCAGGACTTTTCTACTGGGGATATAAAGGGTTAGGTTCCATTTCCAGTCCACGTGCTGCCCTGCCTTCCATACCTCCAGCCACTCTGAGTCTGAGCTTCCCCAACAAAGAAGTAATATTACTCTCACAAGCAGTTCATTAGAGGCCCTGTGGTGTCAGCGGTGCATTTGAGACTTTGACATAGAGGAATCCCCAGCACCCTGCCACATGGCTCATGCCTGGCAGACTGGTTTTGGAGTGAGGTATCACCAACAAGGAAATAGGCCAGGGAGGAAGAAGAAGAATATGGCCAGATGTGACCCCTATCTGGACCACCAGGAAGACAAATCCAAGTTAGTCTTCTACAAGGGAATGACTGGTGACATTAGCAACATCTCTCTCTACAAAACCCAGCACATATGAAGCTTCCCTGAAGAAAACGGAAATACATTCACAAGGTCCCATCCTCTCATTACAGATGGCCAAATGTGAATGAGTCTGGACAAGGTTTCTGGGAATAAGGTGAAGCTCTCTCTCACCAGCGCTCTGAATCACTAGATGCCAGAGCTGGACAGGTGTTTAGAGATCATCTGACTCAACCAACCCATTCTTCAGATGGGGAAATCAAGTCCAGAGAGGGCAAGGCGTCTGCTCAAGGTCACACAGGTAGCTGCTCAGAGTCACTGATAACTAGTCAGACTTTAAAGCTTTGAAGCTGGAATGGGGGCAGGTTCCTTTTTCTCATGGTGGGTACAGTACTTGGAATAATACAGAGACACTGGCCATCTTCCAGAACAAAGATAGTCTTTGTTGGGGAGGCTCCTTTCCCCTTAGAAGGGTGAAGCTGGTCTTGACATTTTCGCCCTGACTACTCTGAGGGGATTGACAAAGGTGCAAGGCAGAACCTCTGTGGAAATGAGGTGGCAGCAATAGAGGAGGGGATAAGGTTTTCCTGGCCCTTGGGGGATGGCCGAAAGGAAGGGAACCTCCCTTGGAGATCTGGGCATAAGTGGCCTCCACCTGTCTCATTCATATTGCCCTGCTCTTCCCCAAGGTCTGGGCTCCAGCTTCTGCTGGCAACAGGCTTTGGAGGTTTTTTCCCCAGGGGTGTGCTGAGGGCTTGCTTGGGTGCCCATTACTTGCTCTTAAGACATTAGCAAAGAGTTTACAATCTTTTCTGTCTTTTCTCTTCTGTAGCACACTCCAGCCGAGTGGCAGCGCACAGTGTGCCTTGAGACAGGGAGTGGGTGGGGGAGCCCCCTATCCCTCTGCTGCCAGCCTTGCCTAGTCAGCCCTCGTTCCTCCCCCTCCCCCATTACCTGTTGCAAGTTTGGGTGGAGATTCAACACGTGGAGACTCCAGCCTACCCCCTCCTCCACCCATCAGAGCCGAGCCCAGGGCACCCTCGGATCCCAGGGCCCTGTCTGCCCGGCCCTGCTGCCTTCTCCCTGGCATGCTTCGCCAGACACCGCGCCCCACCGGCCGAACTCCTGGCAGTCTGCCGGGGCTGGGCGATACTGGCTGGCGGCTCGGCGGCCACTTCCTGGGTCCAGGCGTGGGGCGTTGGGGAGAGTGGCTCCCTGAGGGAACTAGGGTACCCTAGTCCAGCTGGAGGTGGGGGGCCGCCCACATTGCCCTTGACACTGCAAAGCCCACCCAGCCCTCCCAGGCAGCACCGGAAAGCGGGACAGAGGCGCGCCCCATTCGTAGCCAGTGCACAGTCCCCGGGGATCCCCAAGCAGTTGCCTGGCTCAGTCTGTCGCCGGGCTGGCGGGGTTCAGGGGTTCCAGGCGAGGGCACAGGCTGCGGGCTGGCGGCGGGGGGAGCATCTATTTCAGCCGAGGATCGTGTGATAGGAAGCGGTGACAATGAGTCACAGGGCAGCGGGGCGAGAGCGCTCCCCCTCCCCCCGCACACGCTCGCGGGATGGTTTCCGAGGCGAGCGTGGCCCACTTCGGTTACCTCAGCCGTTACACAATCCCGCCCGCCCGCGCGGAGGAGGGGCCGCCCGGCCCGGGCCGCTCGCGGCCCTTATGCAACCAGTGCTCTCCTGACCTAATTCCACACCGGACCCACCCCACAGGGAGCCGCGGCCCCGGAAGGGACAACTCCCGGCGGCGGGAGCGGCAGACGCAGGCGCCGACCGGACATCTCCTGCCGGCAAGAGCCCGGAGGACCCCGCGCGAGTGTGGGAAGAGTGCAAAGTTCCTCTCCTGGCAAGGAAGGTGCGGGCAGGTGTAAGAGGGGGCCGGGCGTGCAGAGGGAGAGGGAGAGACAGAGAACGACAGCGACGGTGACACTGAGCAAGATAGAAACAGAGTGACAAAGAAGCGAAGAGACGGAGAAAAAGAGACAGAAACAAGGTGACACAGAAACAGAAGCTGAGAGGCACAGAAACACAAAAGCTAACAGGAGTCGCGGGAAAAGACAAAAAGCAACAGAGATAGACGGACACAGCCAAAGATAGCTAAAGAGGGGAAGACAAAGTCAGACAGGGAGCCACAGAGATCCTCCTCCCCCACCGGGCCACTGTCCATCCGTCTCCCGCCCCCTCCTCTGCCCTGGTCCAAGCCCCATCTCCGGCCAGGTTCATTCTCCCGCCCCCTCGCGTCGCCCGGAGCCCCAGCCCCGGCCCCTGTGGCGCGGTGGGCTCACCCAGCCTGACTGCCTCGTTGTACTTGAGCAGCGCCGCCTCCACCTGGCGCTCGCGGTACAGCCGGTTGCCCTCGTGCCGGAGTTGCGACGCCCGCGCCGGACCGGGGAACAACTTGCCGAGGAGGCCGCTGAGCACCACGTTGACCCGCAGCGGCGGCGGCGCCTGCTGCCCAGCCCGCCGGGACCCGCGCGCCCGCCCAGTGGCCACCATCAACGCGGAAAGCTTGACTCCGCACAGCGCACAGCGCCGGTCGGCTGCCCGCCCACGTTCTAGGCACAGTTTACAAAAGGTGTGGCCGCACGACAAGGACACGGGGTCTGAAAGAAATCCATGACACTTCCGACACTTAAAGCCGTCCCACACCTCGGTGGCCGCGACCGCTGCTGCCCCTGTCTCCTCCACCGCCACTACGGAGCTTGCACCGCTGCCCCCGTCCGGGGGCGCTGGCGCCGACGCCTCGCCTTGCGAGACGTTCTCCGCCAGGCAGCGCACCAGCTGCTCCAGCTGCTCGGCCACCAACTGCTGCCGCTCCGAGAGCTGTCTGTACACCTCGAGGGCTTCCCGGAGGCGCCCCCCGGACGCCAAGGCGTCGGCCTGCGTAAGCAGGACTTTGCACTCCGGCGTTGAGGTCCTCGGAGACTGATCCTGCTCCGGCTCCCGCGTCGGTAGAGGTGCGGGGCCCTCTGTAGCCATCTCCGGGTGGGGGCCCGTGTCTACACGGGCCGCCGATGCTACCCGCTCCGCCGGCTCCGCCAGCTCTAAGTTGCTCCTGAGCCCGGCGGGCAAGCTCAGCATCTGTTCGGTCTCAACTGAATCCATAGGGACAGGGACACGCGCGGGGAAGAGGCGTCTAGGGACCAGGGACAAGAAGCAAGGAGCGGTGGCTGGAGGAAATCGGGGCTGCCACGGCTGCCGTGCGGCCGAGCGCCGGGCCCTGCCGCGCCTCTAAGAGCTCCATGCCGGCCGCCCCGCGCCGCCTAATAACTGTCTTGTCTCAGCAAAGTGTTATATAAAACGGCACCACGTGACGCGCCGCCACGCTGCTCATTGGCCGGCGGCGGGGAAATTGTTACAAAACCAGACAGTTTTGTAACAGTGTTGCGCTTGCTTCTTTTGGCTTCGCTTTTCTTGGCTTCTTTTTGAGGTTGTTTGTGTTTACACTCCGCCTTATTTCCCCCTCACAACCTAGTTCCTTTCCAGAAGAAGCGGGGAAACCAACGTCTTCGCTCTGGCTTCTCCGTCGCCAAACCCCACCCCATCCCACCTCCAAACGGGCCAGCAAACAGGTTTCCTCTGCCAGCCGCTCGCTAGCGCCCCCTCACTCCTCCCGGGAGAGGCCGGTACCTCTAGGCATGTGGTCCGAGGGGTCTTCTGGGACAACGAAGGCGCTCCCTCCTGAGGGGACGCTGCTGTCTGCGAAGGCAAGAGGAGGGTTTAGCGGGGTACCAGTGAGTTCCGCTCTTTGCCCCGGGCCAAGAGCCCAGGGAGCCCCGCCCCGGCTCCTTGCCTTCCCTCGGGAGCCCCCCAAAGGTGGTGAGTGCGGGTTTTCTGAGGGCGCTTGGTCTTCTGTGCCGGGAGCGACTCAGAGTATTGGGTACGGCGGGCACAGGAGTTGGGCAGCGCTCGGGGGACAATGAAGGACTAGGGGAGAGGATGCGCTTGCCGGCTCGGCCCCGGAGGAAGGCGCCCCGCCTGGCCAGCTCTTTACCTCTCTTTTCCCAACGCCAGAAGTAGCTCTGGGGCGGCCGGCGTGCGCCCAGCTGGAGACGCACCCGGCCGGGCAGCCACTGGCCGGATGGGCGCGGCCGCCAGAACTCGGCCTGCTAGGGTCGGTGGGTACTCTGGGGGCGTGGGAGAATGGCGGGCGGAAGGCGCGAGCCAAGAGCGCTACTCTCGGGAGAAAGTCCGCAGATCCTAGCACAGCATAGCCGCCGACTGAGCTGTCTCGAGGTTCGCTGCTCCTGAGTGCTGAGTTCTGACATTGGCGTGTCACAGTGGGGGAGCTGTGCGGGAGTATGGCCGGGCAGGAGCCTAGGTACCTTGCTCACAATGGCTAGGGGGCTTCGACGGTGCCCTGCACACATCCAGAAAGCCAGAGTGGTGGCCAACCACACGTGCTGTTTTGTCTCCCTCCCACCCTCACATTTAGGACCAGAGCACAAATGAGAGACTTAGAGACCTAAAGGAATAACGCACTTCCCTAGGGTCGCACTGCTGCAAGCAGGAAAGCAGAGTTTGGGCTTGCCCCTAGCTCAGTTGGCCTCCAGAGCGGGTGGGCACTGCCTGAAGCAGAGGGACCTGAAGACCTACAGCTGGCTCAGCTGTGGCCACTTCTTAGCTGGGTTACCTTGGGAAGTCCCCTAAACTCTAGCTAGAAGCCGTCGTCTTTCTGTCTTCGCTTCTGAACAAATGTCAGAGCTGATCTCAGTTGGTAAGAAGTCATGTTTCAGAACTGGGGATAGCAGGCTCCTTCCGGGCTCTGAGTCTCTTTAGGTCATTAAACCCACCTTGAGTCAACACCAAGGTCCCAGAGAGCAGGTACTGTGCAGGGAGCCCTAGAGCCTCTCTCGAGTAAGATAGGACATGGGGAGACAGTCAGAGGGAAGAAGGAAAACATCACATAGGGGGGAAAAGAGACAAAGGAAAGAAATAAAGAAACTCAGAATGTAGCCAGGAAGGCATGAGGAACACATAGGGAAAATTGGCTTGAAGCCCTGGCTTTGTCATGATTTGTTATGAGAGCTCGGGCAAGTCCTCCAGGCCTTAGTCCCCCCTCCCATCTCCAAGATTCCCCTCCAGCCCTAACCGTGAGTGGCTTTGATCCTAAGACCAGATTTCACGACACCAACTCGATTACTTAAGTACAAATGTCTAGTCCAGATGCAGTGGGTGGTGGCTTGTGGGGAGAGGGGTGAAATCAGCAGCAGTAGTGGAAGGGCAGGGGTGGCTGGAAGGCTGTCCTCTTAGTAGGGGTCAGCTCTGAGCTAGGTTTTGAAAATACAGAAGTTGGGGACTGGCCAAGAGGCAGAGGAAGTGGCCATGCCAGGCAGTAGGGGAGAAGTTGGGGCTCTTGGTGACTTGTTGACAGACTGAGGAAAGCTCCTTTCACCCCTCAAGTTCCCTTGCTATCAAATGGGGGTCCCCAGCACTAATTATCTGCCTGCCTCTTCTGGCACCTGTGAGGAGGGAGAGTCTGTGGGGCAGGTAGAGATTTATACGAAAAGGCCACGAGATGGATAATGATGAAAACCTCTTAGTTCAAGAGCTGTATCCCTTTGCCATATCTAAAAATATAGATGTCTGTTCCCCAAAGTTGTTTTCCAGATGCAGATCTGGGATGTGCCTTGCTCCCTGGACCACCTTGACAAGTGAATATCTCCTGGGTTGATTTCCCTCCCTTGCTCTGCTGGCAGTGGGGAGGCAAGGAGAAGGCCAGGTCTGGTGGAGGGTCAAAGTCCTGTAGGCATGGAGAAGAGGTGCTCTCTCCAGGCAGCCCCTCTTGGCAGCTTCATGTGCATAAGGCTGACCATGAACTTGGTCAGGAATGTTAATAGCTGTCAGGGTGGTGCAGGACACTCAGGTGTAAAAGGCAGTACCACCCATTCACTGGCCAGACTCCACAAGAGTTTTACATCCTAATCAGGACTGTCTGTTGGATACCACCCAAATGGGTTTCTACAGAATGCTGGAAAACATTCTACAGGTTTTCTTTCCTTCTTTATTTAAGTTAAACAACATTACGTTGATACACCTTTATGAACCAACTCAGAAGTCTTCTGCTCAAAACTTCCTCCACTTTGCTCTTAGTAATTGGAGGCCCCTGGAAGGAGGGGAGGGGGAAGATTGACAATATCTTCTTTTCAGGTGCAAATATTCCCTTTGGTGTGCCTGGTTCCTCAAACCTTCATTTATTTCGCTAGGATCACCTTGTGGCTAAGGTTAACTGGGAAGAGAGAGCAAGAGTTGAGCTGCCTCTCATTTCCAACTAATTACAGCAGTAGTTTTCCAATGAGGCTCTGAGGAATCTTTCTGGGGCCCAGAGAAGACAGCAGGCAGGTCCCAACCCTACCTAACTCTCCTCAGCCAGAGCAGCATTGCATTGATCTATTTAACATAGTGAGCTTCCAGGTATGATTTCACTGAAGAAAAGCTTTCCCTTCTTTAAAATAAGAAGTCTGAAAACCACGGCAATTTTCACCCACTTTTATATATTTGTGGAGTATCTTCTATGTACCAGAAACTGTTCTAGGTGCTGGAGATATCTCAAAGCAGCACTTAGCTCCCAGGCCCTTCCTCACATATAGTAGCACATCTTTTCCCTGACATGTTCTTATACTGGGTTTTCACGTAGGCTAGAAGCTCCATGAGGGCAAGGACTTGTGTCTTGTGTCTTTCATCTCCTCCTCAGAGGACAGTGCTTGAATAGATCTTACTGAACATAGCAGTGGACATTCTGGCCCTGGCTGGGAGTGTGCAGAAGGACAAAAGGAAACTTAGCTGGTATGTCATACCTTTGCCTTGGGTCATTCATAGAGGGGAGAGTGGGCATGCAGCTAACCAAGAGTCAATAGTCCTGTACTTTGAAAGGATGGATAAACAGCTCTTGGAGGGAAGAGTCCAGTGAAAGCCAGAGACCTGGGTGAGGAGTGACCAACCACACGCACACACACACACACACACACACACACACTCACACTCTATGCATGGAAGCTTGGCCAAAGCACTTACTTGCTATCTACTTGAGTTTCTCATGTTATAAATTGGAATGACCCATCAACCTGCAGTCCTTACAGGGAAAAAACAAGGCACCATGGGCATTAACGGCATTGATATGGGAAAAAAGACTGCCCCTTGCTATAAGAGTAGCCAAAAACCCAGCGCTAGAAGAAAGTTTGCACATCAGCCCTGATTTTGCATGTGAGGCACTTGAGCACAAGAAAAGGCAAATTGCTTGCCACAGGTCACAATGGGAGTTTGTAACACAGCCCAAATTAGAAGCTAGGGCTCATGTCTCTTTGTTAATAGAGTTTTTTCCATGTGATCAGAAAGCTTCCAAAGGGCACAGAACATCTCCCCAAATAAGCAAGAAATTGTTTCATATTTCCCACCTACAAGATTTCCATCAGTTCAGCAAATATTTATTGAACATATACTGTGTGCTGGAGCTGGTATTTGTGGGGCAATACTACAGAAGGATATGACACAGTCGTTATCCTCCAGTGGCTAACTGAGGAAACAAGAGGCAAAGATTTGAAAAACAACAGGCGATATGTAAAAAGTGCCCAAATTGGGGGAACAGTATGTACGAGGGAGTGCTGACAGGGAACAGACTGCAGTGCAGTCCCATAGAGAAGGTGCTCTAAGCTAGGTTGGAGAGAAGTGAAATATCACCCCACTGCTAACACGAGGGGACTCCCTTCACACTGGGGGCTAGGTGGCATGGGGAAAGGAGAATTCCAAGTCAGTTGAGCTGGTCAATGCCCAGGAATTGTATTTTTAAAGGCTACCCATGTGATTGTGACGCTTGGTTAGGTTTGGTGTTCACCCATGTAAAGGGTGATGTAGAATAGATTGGAGGAGTGCGCCCCAATCCTTCTCTCCCTACCTCATCCTCAGTTTCCCTGGGGTGGAGACAGCAATAATTCTCCTCTGTATTTTACTGAAGGGAAAACTGAGAGTCCAGAGACTTTCAATGATGTGTTCAAGGTCACTCAGTTAATAGTGGGGACCCTGGCCTCCTGCCAACCAGTACAAACAGAAAGATCACAAGATACCATCCCAAGGAAGATTTTGCTTCATTTCTCTGTAAGACAAGTCAGACCCGCTTGGTTAGCCTGGGAGTCTGTTGCCCAGAGTACAAAAAGGAGCAAGTTTCAAGCTGTCAGGTGTGTGGGACAGAGCCCAGGGAGAGGTTAGTTGCTGGGAGTTTGGAGTTCTAACTTTGCTGTGTGACTCAGCCCAAGCCACTTCCCCTCTCTCTTCATGT